AACCTTGCTGCTTGTTGGCGTATTGCTATTGTATTTGTTGACTGATTTTATCAACCCTTCAGTAGCCAACGCAACTAACCCTATTTGAGAATGAAAATTCATAAGATACCATCTGAAAGCCTGTAATAGTTTAGTAAAATGCCACTGCAACGGATTTCCTTTTCAATATGCAATTCATGTTAGGTTATAAATTAATTAATGACTTGGGTAAAAAACTACTAGTAAATAGATGAAAAACTACAGAGGACTGGTCTTTTAAATTACTTCTTTGCTGTCACTTTTCTTGCGCTTATGAAATTTAATTGATCATATATTATTACTTCAGTCATGATGTCACGCTATTTCGCATGTCGTGTCATGCTGACATTAACCCTTTCGTCTTAGTTGGATCCCATATATGTCCCTCTTGATCAACTGGTCAAGTCTGGAGGCTCCAAGCAAAACAATCGATCAGCAGACACCCTTGACCAACTGGGAGATGCAAATTCAGATTGCGCAGCAAGCCTCAGATCAAGGGAGAGGCAGGTGTTCACCGCAGGCTACAAGGTGCAGGGCTCGACAGAGACAATACAACAGCCTCTGCCCTTTTGTGATTGCAACAGCGCATCTGCCAGTTGTGTGTACACATTACACACGATATATAGAAGAACGTTGAAGAGTAGATTGCAGCATATCTCATCTTCAGGACTCACTGCTTAGGGGTTAAGGATGTATGATTACTGCTACACATGAAGCACATTTGTTCGTATGGATAAGGCGATTGAGCTAAGACAATCTTGGGACGTGAGATATACTCCATCCATTTCAAACTATATGTCACTTTGCTTTATCCTAAGTCAAACTTCTCTAATTTTGCAATATCTATAACATCAAAGTAATTTAACTAAATTCTCCGTGTGCACTTATTTGAACTTATGGATGTTAATATATTTTTTCTAAAAAGTTAACAAAGTTTGATTTAAGTCAAAACTAAAGTAAAGTGAACTATAATTTGAAACATGGGGTGTGTTTGTTAGTCGTGGTTTGTTATTGTCGCCTAGCGATTTCTAATGCTAGGGGTAGGGTTCACCCTCTGGTCATTAATTTTAGAAAACCATCATCATGTAAGCATTATTGAACACGTCAAAACCTTTTTTTTACTAATTAAAACGGGTTTTCTTGGTGTGTAAGCATTATTGAACACGTCAAAACCTTTTTTTACTAATTAAAACGGGTTTTCTTGGTGAACATCGTTGTAGTTGTTTCCTGCTTGATTAAAGTAGCATTCACTTTGTTCCAAAATGTTAGTCGTTTAGTTTTAGTCAAACTTTCCCAACTTTGTTGATCAGTCTAAAAAATATAAACATCTACAATATCAAATATGTTAAATTAATTGTTTAAATAATAAAATCATTGGTACTGTATATAATTTATACAAATTTGATAAAAAGATAAAGAAGAAAGTTTATGACCACGCATTTTGGAACTTAGGGAGCATGATGTACGGTACAGGTTTGCCCATATTCCAGCCACTTCGTAAGCCTCAAGGCAACAAAAGCGACAGACCATTAGCTTTATTTATTAGTATTATTTTTACAACTCTCGCATGTACATCTTGTCGCTTGTCAGTTACTTTTGAGGGAGAAAATAAATATGCAAGCCTAAACAAGAAAATGAATTGATGTGACCCCTGTGAAATTGCATATATACTACCTGCGTCTGTGAGCACAAAATAATGCAACTTTTACTTTTCGAGAAATCAAACAATTTAGATTATAATTTGATCAAAAATATATAAAAAATACTAAAAATTTTATATAATAAGTAGCATTAAATTAATTAGCAAATCTAGTTGGAGATATAAATATTAATATTATTAACTGTAATTTTGGTCAAAGTTAAGCTAAAAAATTAACTTACATAAATCTCATAATTGCGTTTTTTTTACGGAAGGAGTATATATATAGGTAAGCAGGATCGATCGTTGTACATCAAGTCCCGACTCGACTGCCATCCATCAATTTCATCGTACATACAAAATCATATTTCTTCATATATTTCTGTCCATGGTGTGTTACGCACGCGCGTACCTATATATGTACATGGATGCATATGTGCGTTGAACGACGTACAAATCCAAATAACGTGTGGTTCCTTTAAAACGAAAAGGGTCTGGAACTAAGGAATGTGATGGGAGGCAGCTAGTATCTCTCATGATTGTGCTTTTGCTGCCTTTTGAGACTAATAATGCGATGACAGCCATAAAATGTTTTATACTGGGTAAACAACGTCATGCCACATCTTGATCGATCATTCAGCTTATAATACTGGCATGCCAATTAGCCATGCACGCATGCACGGCTCAGAATGTAGGACTTAAGTTGTTTAGCAACTAGCAAATTTGAATATTGTGTTGGATGTCATATGATTGCCTTGGGGCTCAGTGCACACCCCCTAGCCAGTGTATAGGCTAGGGGTGTGCACCTAGCCCCAATCAAGACAATCATATAGCATAGGTGAAGTGACTATGTTTTGTGAGATTAGGCTTTACTTTTATGGCCTAGTCACTCTTTTGTCTTATAACTTCACTTACCAGCCTAAGCCTAGCTCTTTTTTTTAACTCGCCTCATCCTACTCTCTTTTTCTTGAAATATAATGAGCTTATCCCGAGTCAAACTACCTTTAATTTTACTCCCTCCATCCCAAATTATAAGACGTTTAACTTTTTTGGCCCCAAGTTTGACCACTCGTTTTATTCAAAAAATTTATGTAAATATAGTCAAATTTAAGTCATTCTTGAAGAATTTTTATTAATAAACCAAACCACGACGAAAGAAGTGATATTTTACATAAATTTTTGAATAAGACGAGTGGTCAAACTTGGTGTCAAAAAAGTCAAACGTCTTACAATTTGGGATGGATTGAGTATTAAATTTATATAGAAAAGTATTAACATCTACAACCTCAAATAGGTAAACTATAAAAATACATTTCATATGGTATCTAATAATGCTCATTTGATATCGCAAATAGTATCCATTCTTTCTAAGAAACTTGGTCAATTTAGATTAGTTTGTTGACTTAGGACAACTCAAAATACAGTATATTTTAGGACATATATACAATATAGGCATTAGCTACGACTTTCGTTCTAAAATATAACACCCCGTTTGGATGTAGATATTTAGACCTAAACATTGGAATTGGAATCGAGTTTTTCCAATTCTATTGTTTGGATGTCTTTGGCATCGAGAGATGGAATTGAAGCCCATTTCCTTGGTATTCGGCTACAGCTAACTCTACTCTCTTCCAATACTGAGTTCAATCCCTCCGTATTGGAGAGAATCATGAGAACAGAAGGTCCCACCGCCGGAGGGTCCAGCCCACCATCGCCGTAGGGCTGAGGACACCTCGTCGGCAGCAAGCACCCCTGCTCTTCCTCCCCATGGCCGGCGGCGAGCACCCCTACTCTTCTTCCCCGTGGCTGGCGGCGACCACCACCCCTTCTCTTCTTCCCTATGGTTGGCGGTGACCACCCCTTCTCTTCCTTCCCCGCAGCCGGCGGCGATGTGGAGAGGTAAAGAGGGAGGACGGAGGGACCTCGCCAGCAGAGGGATCGAGCAGAGGCAACACGGAGAGGAAGGGCAGACGAGATCTTGCCAGCAGAGAAGGATGACAGAGCGGACCTTGCCGACAACAGGGAGGAAGGGCGTGATGTGGGAGACGGAGGCGAGCTCGCTAGCAAAGAGGAAGGACAAGTTGACTCGCCGGTGGAGAGCATGGGCTGACACCTCATCGGTGGAGAGCTCGGGTTGAGGAGATCTCGCTGGTGGAGAGACCTGGTGGAGATCTCGGACGGAGAGGAGGGACTGAGGGGGGGGGGGACGAGGGAGACGGCCGACCGTTTCAATGCATGGACATCCAAACAGAATTTGGCATTATAACCTTTCTTGATTATAGCTACCAATTCTATGTACAACCAAACAAAAGATTTGGTATTGAACCTAATTCCATTCTAAGGTTGTTTTGGTATTATTGGCACCCAATTCAACACCTCCAGCCCAATATCTACATCCAAACAGAGCCTAAGAGGATTTTGGTTATATGCAACCTGGACAATACTTGCGTAGGTGGATATCGACAATCACTTACTCTATATTCCAGAAGAGGTGGCTATGCAACTGGACAATACTATATGCTGCGGAAATAAATGGGCAAATGGCAGCATGTATGCACATTTATTTCCATTTAACCAGCTTGGAGACATGCAAGGCAGGCCACAGTTGGCATATATATGGAGACCAAACAATTAAGCATTCAGGGACATAGTTGGATGAAGGTCATATTCATATGAGACAGTCTCTCTGTCTAAGAAAGGCTAAACATAGCTATATAGCAGGGAGGCAAATGACGAGGTAACTTGAGCACCAAGGTGACCACCGCGCTCGCTCTCTCAAATCCGTACGTCCTCAGAATAATGCAAAGCTGAGGCTCGGCAACGAAACCGCGCTTTGCTTAAAGATGGCTTATCATGCGCTACAGAACATCCACAGGCGCACTTTAGCATCTTATCGTGTCAAGCAATCCCCACCGTTGGATCTCGACCCTTTACCAGACCATACGATCCATGCCGTCCGCGCTCGATTTCCTCGATCAGGCGCCTTTGTTTCTGCTGTCTGGCTAGCTAAGCTAGACCGGATCGAGATGAACCCTAATCCGCCGCTCCATTGAGCTCGCTCGCTCGCATTCCATGCACACATACAGGCCCCGGCCTCTTCCGGCCACGACCACACTATAAATTGAGGTGCGGCCTCTTCTCAGCTTCCCAAGACAGCAACGCTCCAACCACTGGCTAGCTAGGCACAGCTAGAGTAGCTGCTAATATCTCCGTCTCTTTCTCTCTCTAAACTACAAGCAGAGCTTCTGAATAAAAAGCTAGCGTATTACATTGCACAGGTACGGTGTAGTATAACTACCAGACAAGATCTCGAGGTAGAAGAGAGAGCAAAGCTAGCTAGTATATGGGAGGGAGGTCGTTCTTCTGCATCTTCAGCTTCTCACGCAAGTCGAGGCGTTACTCCGTCGACGACGAGGCGAGCGACAGCGGCTGGGAGGTCCCGGCGAGGCTGCGCAAGGTGCGTTCCAGCGACGAGGACAACGGGTGGTGGGTCGGCGAGCGCGACGTCGACCAGAAGGCCTCCGACTTCATCGCCACCTTCCACCAGAGGCGCCTCGTCGTCTAGATGCTGATGCTGCGGCTGCTGCCGCGTATATATGCATGCGTGCTGGCGTTAATATATAATCTCGACGTCGAGGTTTATTATCATCGTCTACAAGAATTAGCTATAGTTATATATAGATCAACGACTGATCTTCTTCGAGCATATCTCAACATATATATAGTCGTCACGTACGTGTGTACTTAGTCATATATATATAGATGCTCGGTGCTTGACTGAAGGCGAATAATGTAATGTAGCCATATATGTATAAGAGGGGTGTGTGTGTGTGTGTGGGTGGGGGGGGTGTTAAGAGATCTGGGTGTGTGCATGCATGCATGTATAATTGAGTGAATAATAAGTTGATGATGGTAGTATGTAATATATGGGTGCTATTTGAATTGATCTCGCTCTCTCTCAATAAACGATAGCGATGTATTATAAAGTTGTGTGTTTTATAAATTTCAAATATTAATTGTTTTCGGTAAGCTAAATATATAAGATATGTATGCGAACTGAGCGTAACTTATTAGTTGGTTGCTTGTGGTGAAACCTGTTCATCACCTAGCTAGGTTCGGGTCCTCGCTCGACATGACACAGGTGCTCGCAGACGATGTATCTGCCAATAGCGAGACGTATATAGTGACTTCGTCAATCTCGTGATCAACCGACTCGGCCTCCATCTTAGCGGTAGGGTGAGTGTGCGTACATGTATGAGTGTATGTGCCTGTATTATTATTCACAAAGGAAAAATTACAAGATATGTATACTTGAAGGGCTGCTGAATCAGACATCAACTTTTATTTGTTCACAAGGATATCCCGTGTGCACACAACACTTATATTATTCATGCGTGTAATTTTACCAATAGCAACATACTTTCTTATGAATGAAGACAATGCTCTCAACATTGCCTATATACATCATGCATTTCTCATTTTATATTTTAAATTTTCAGAAGCTGTCATACTATGTATGATGCCAATCTTTTTCTGCATAACTGGATGTGTAGTAGTGGTAACAGATATTAAAATCACTGCTGGCACCTGCAAAATAAAATCTTATCACTAGTACGAATTTTTAATTTGTCTATCGTTTCTCGGACAATATATATGTGCATGTGAACGGAGAGGCGTTTCTTCCCCAGTGGATATATGAAGATACCTTTTTTTTAAAGGATATGGAGATACCTACTCAGAACTTCTGGGACCATACATATGAGTGGTCAAGGGAAGAGAGGTGGACTATGTATGTTCATGCCTTATTCACAAATATATAACATTACATTTTCTCTTATCATGCACACAAATAAATATAGAATATTGAATTCACATGTACGCTGAATTGAAGAGTGAGCGAGCGTATGTATGACAACGTCTTGTTACGGCAGTAAGAATTTAATTACGTGTATATATACTGAATTTAATTATGTTTAATACCGTTGGATGCAGTACCACTAGGGATTACTCCCTCTCTCTGGTCAAGTCATCTAACTGCCGTTTACGACAACATATCAGTCACTTGCAGACACTAGTTTGACATTCGTTAGTACTCCATTTGCTAACTCCATTTGTTCCGAATTATAAGTCATTTTATCTTTTCTAGGTGCATAGCACAACTTTTGCTCTATGTATGTAGATATAACGTATATCTAGATACATGGTAAAAACTATATACTTAATTAGAAAAGCTAAAACGATTTGTAATTTGGAATGAATGGAGTAGTATAGAACATATGCAAAACATAGCAAATTAAAATTATAATTTCTTGAACTACTATTGATGAAGAGAAACTGAGCCATACTATTTTTTTTTCAAAATTGAAGTTGATTTGAATTTTTCAAAGGGGTATGGATGTTTAGGAGTTCAAACATGCTGTAATTCAAAATGATAAAAAATTTTGTAACCGGAGGGAGTATATACACCCCAGTTGAAAAAGTATAACAGCTTGCAAAAATAAAATATACTCCATGAGCTAATTACCACCATGCAAGGACAGTATGGAAAAAAATGCAAACAACAAAAGTCATAGATGCTCTTATTGAACGCAAGTAAAGTGTTGTTAGTGCATGCATGAACTTAATTAGTTATTACCAAGCAATCGGCAGTGGCATGCAGGACGTACGTGATCGACGGTCATTGTAAAAGCATCTGAAATGGCGTTATACAGGAGACGAGTGGGAATGAGCTTTTTGTCGGGAAAGCAACTCAACCAGAAGCCTACGGCATAGAGTATTCGGCTCAGAGCTCTAGGTCTTTCGCAGCTGAAAGTCACTCATCAATGCACCGCTTTGTTCTTGCTTTCGCTTCTTGTCTCTTACAATATTCTCCGTCATATCATCGATCTCATCTCTTCCCCCTTTTGGCTCTGGGGGATATATACATCCAATTATACATGGAAAAAAAACTTGTCTGCGTATAACTCCGTCTCGTGGCAGCATGTAACTTTTATCTTTGTCTTGAAAAATATAACCTGAGTTGTTACACACTTGGCTCTAGTAAGTAGGCATCTGGGCTTCCAATCAGTGCCATCAACCCGAGGCCTTCTTCATCATTGTGCCAAAGCAATGCTGTATGGTCATCTCTAGGCTCTTCCCAGCTGATTTTTCTGATTCCATGAGAAAATGGCAAAAATGAAGGTGTGCTTATCTCTGGTGTAAGCATCATGTCATGTCATATCATCATATAGCATCCTGCATTTCTAATTTCGCAGCAGAATACAACTAGGGGTTACCTTTACATCTGTCCTCAATTGGCCCTCCCTGTATGTATGACGAGTAGCTGTCATTTGTACACGTATTTTGCTACAAGCCTCTGAGCAATATTCCTCCAACCATTCCCAACTCTTGTTCACGGGCGGAAGGTATCTAATACTCCCTCTGTTTCAATTTAGAAATCGTTCTGACTTTTCTACATAAATAGGTCTTACTATATATCTAAATATAATGTATATCTAGATGTATCAAAAGTTATGTAAAAATACAGTACGACTTATAATTTGGAATGGAGGGAGTACTAGTTAATAGTTATTCAAATATATTATCAGGAAGCGTGCAAGTCACAACATTTATATAGTTCACCAACTGTTGCCAGAAGACTCTTTGACAGTAGCTCACAATTTGCAGGCAATTGCTTCAAGCAATCTTGGTGGTCATGTGTCATCTGCATCATATCTGAAAACTACTGCAGAATAGTGTCATACCAAATTGCAGCACATTGAATTCTGTCTTGAAGGATAAGTAAGCTTCATCTAGCAGTCATAGATGCATGCACTGGGAATAAAAGAGTGAAAGCTACAAATCAGTTCCCATGTTTTTCCCCTCTTCTGAGTTTGTGATTTGATCCTCAAGAACATGGTCTCAGCAGCAGCACACAGAGAACATACAATGATACAAAGCCAAGCCATGCAGTTGATTCCTGTTCATGACATTCAGAATCTGCAATGCCAAAGCTCTGCCACCTTTCGCCCCCTTTTCCTTGTTGAGGAAGAGCAGGAGAAGCTTCCTTTTTGCCAGGGGTACATGTCCTGATTCTGCAGCCCTTGCATGGCTTCCCAATTATTAGGTCATGTCGGCATCGCCGCAGGATCGGATATGCGTCTCTCTGACAGCAGAAGGCTTTTCGAGGTCAATCAGGTCGCAATTTGTAAGTGTTTTATCTGGATGTTGCATATATTTTCATGAATATGTTGCAAGTGTATGTTCCAAATGTTTCATCTGCTTCAGACGTGTGTTGCATTTAAATGTTTCATGTTGCAAGTGTTTCGTGTTTCAGATGTATGTTCAAAGAGTCATTGGGGTACGGCCCAGGCGCCGTGGGAAGGGGCATGGTGAGCCGGGGGCTGACGGATGTGGCATGCAACGCGCCTAGGGTCCTGTGGACGGGACGTGCTCGTCGTCATATCGGCTCCCAGGACCCACTCGCGCGGAGAGAGAGGAGGGGTTTACGGGGATGGGGCAGCGGGCGCGGGGCGAGGCGAGGCGAGGCGAACGGGGGCAGGGTCGTGTGCGGGGCGAGACGAGGCAGACGAGGAAGGACTGCAACGATAAGGTGGGAGTACGGCATATTTCTGATAGGCCGTTCGGTACCGTCCGACGGAATCCTATCCCATCGGACATCCGGGCGCCAGCAAATTCCTTTTAGTTTAGGACTTGTGATGCATTGAGTCGAAAAAGACCGAGATAGAAAAATTAACTAATTTTTTACTTCAACCCCTCTCAATCTATGCATGTTGGGATGTATTGAATACATTTGGAGTAGAGTTAAACAAATCCTTCTGAGTGGTCGATCCCCGGATTAGGACGTTGAGTTTGAGATATGAGTTGGATTTTTTTTAACATAATATCATCCGGTTATAGATATTCTTTTAATGCTTCACAGACATGGGCGGAGCTATATTCAAAGTGCTAGGTGCAGCATCACCCACGGAAAATTAAAAATACAATAGAAAAAGGTAATTTTTCACCATATTTACACACATATGTCATATATCATTGCACCTATAATAAAAGGTGTATCTCTCTCGTATTTGCTCTAGCTCCGCCCATAGAACAGAGAAGTCCTGCGTGATAGCCTGACAGGAGCCAACCCCCGCGTTCAAAAGTAAAGGAAATGATATCGTTAACAGTAACACTGCAGTGGCGGGCGAGCAGCCGAGGAGTGGGCTGCGATGTTAGGGAGCAGGCACGCTGGGTGATGGGCCATAGTTGTGTCGGCCAGCTTGCTACCGCTGCTGCTGCACGGCCCAGCTCTGCCTCTTCCTGCTTCAGAATTACAATCAATGTTGGCTTCATAGATCTGGGACGACACCTGCTGCAGGAAGGCGAACACCAGGGTACTCTGCCTTGCTGCTTCAGGGTACTCTGCCTCTTGCTTCAGGATTCCACCTTAGACTGACTCCAACCGTGTGACCCAAACCTAAAAATGAGTTGTTCACAGTGTTTTTGTCGACCAAAACAACCTCCAACAGACTAGGTAAATGAGCGACACATTTTGGGTTGGTACCGACACGCAACGCAAACATG